TCTTATTCGTGCCGGATTCCCCGTCCGAGGGCGAAGCGCATGTTCATGTTATGAGTTTTCTTGCGGCTGCCGCCGAGCTTCGCCGTGAAACGTGGCGATCGCTTTCCCGCTTGGCACGCAACGTCATCGGCCCGACCATCGCTTTCCATCGTAGGTCGCGAGGCGATGTCCGCCCACCCAAACCGACCGACGCGCCAAATCGAATTATAATTGCCACCCCTGGTCCCCGCAACAAGGTGCAGTTTTGATTTGTGCAGTTGTAGATGCGTTCGATAAGGAGTGGGGGGGCTCGGGGGCGGCGGGGGGGGCACTGGGGAGAAGGCGCGGAGGCCGGGGTGGCGTGGATGGGGGCCGGGGGCAGGAGTGAGGGGCGCAGGGCGAGGAGCGGCGGGGGGGCGTCGGTCGGAATAAGGGGGGGGGGGGGGGGGGGGGGGGCGGCGGGGAGGCCCGCTGGTATTACGGGGACGGGCGCGGGGGGCGGGAGCGTTGGGGGGGGTGGGAGAGCTCAGGGGCAAGGAGAGGGGAGCGCAGGGGATAAGAGCAGGGGGGCTCGGGGAACGCGGGAGAAGCACTGGGGGGAGGGCGCGGGGGCCCGGGGCGGGGGGGGGGGGCGCGGTGGCGGGAGAGGCGCGCGGGGGAGGAGCGGGGGAGGGGGCGCACGGAAGGAATAAGGGGAGGGGGGCCCGGGGAGGGCGGTGGGGGCACGGCGGAGGGCGCCTGTGGAGGCCCAGGGTGGGGGGAGCACGAGTGCAAGGGGAGGGGGGCGCAGGGGTGGGTGGGGCAGCACGACCACCCGCATGACCGCCAGCACGACCAGCCACCAGCACGACCACCAGCACAAGAACCAACACGACCACCAACACGACCACCAGCAACCACCAGCGAGGGCGGGGAGACCACGGCGGAGGGCGGGGAGAGCACGGCGGAGGGCACTTGTGGAGGTTCAGGGTGGGGGGAGCACGAGTGCAAGGGGAGGGGGGCGCAGGGAAGGAGCGGGGGGCTAGCACAACCACCAGCATGACCGCCAGCACGGGCAGCAACCAACACGACCACCAGCACAAGAACCAACACGACCACCAACACGACCACCAGCACCTCCAGCACTTCCAACCACCAGCACGACCATCAGCAGAACCACCAGCACAACCACCAGCACAACCACCAGCACGACCACGAGCACGACCAGCCACCAGCACGGCCACCAGCACCTCCACAAGCACGACCTCCAGCACAACCAGCAGCACGACCACCAGCACGACCACCAGCACGAGCACCAGCACCTCCATCAGCACGACCAGCCACCAGCACAACCACCAGCACGACAAGCAGCACAACCACCATCACAAGGGAGAGCAGCAGGCCCAGCCAACAGCACCGGGCCAG